CCCAGTAGAACAATGTGCTAAAGAGAGTTTCAGAAATGGGAGATAATGGCCCAGCCTGGTGGCATACTCAGTAACAAACTGAACTGACAGTGCTGGAAGCCACTGGGGCAACTGAGGCTTAGAAACCCCAGGTCAGACTGAAAACACAATGGATGGGCATAGAGGTATCCAAGATCCTGAAAAGATGGAGAGTTGGAAAAGAGGATCATGGCATGACAAGACATGATCAAGGGTGATTCTCTCTCTCTCTTTCTCTGTCATGCATGTACGCGTACTCTCTATCACTAATAAACTTTTAAAAAACTAAATTGGAGGTTATATTTAAAACTAAAAAGATACTCTAGTCATGCAAATCTTCATGATTATCACTTCTTACTCATTTATTGTGTTACAGACTTGATGATTAATCCCTATATGTTTTCCTGTAAATTTTTATGCTTATTAATAAAGTTAAAATATTCTTCACAAATGCTTTTCTTCAAAATCTCTTCAGTTTCTGTTTACTTTCCTCTATGCCTTAATGTCCTTATTTTAAATGTGATGATGCCTACTTTAGAGTGGTTATAGAGTTGATTGATACTATGTGTATCAAGTGGCTTAGCATACTATCTAATTTATAAGACGTGCTGGATAGCTATCAGTCCTTTCACCCACCATAATTTTTGTTTAATGTTATCTTGTATTTGCCTCTAATTTGCATTTCATTCACTTAAGTTTTCTTTTAATCCCGTTTCCAAAGATAAGAGAATCCCAATAATGTAAATAATTAAGTATAGTGTTATCTACATATTTGTAAATATCAACATATTTAGAGTTATTACAGAAATTTGTGTGAGTATAGATGTTTATACCAGTATGTATATTTAATCAAATACCTTAAGATTATCTTTGTTTTAAAAATCCATCCTCATTAATTTATGAGACTTTTTGTTGTCTGATTTTTAATAAATTAGCTTTTCTTTAGAACTATATTTCATAGTAGAGAATGTCACAGACAATTCAGTATATACTTCTAGAATAATCAGTAAATGTTGTGAACATTCAAAATGAATATATTTATTCCCTTGATTTGTTTATTACACACTGTGTACATGCTTTTAAAACTATTCTGTACCCTACAAAGATGTGTAATGATTATGTAAATCATAAATCACAATAAATATTTTTTTAAAAATACAAAAGAACTTGAGACCTGCCGGAACAATTTAAACTTATCATATATAATATAACAACTATTGAAATGGTACTTTAGGGCCAGCAAGTAGCCTGGTGGTTAAGGTGCTGGATCCCACATGGCCAATTCCACTGGTTTGAGTCTTAGACTTGGTGGCCTGAAAAACATGCAAGGTGTGAGTACATGCATGATCAAAACCCTGGGAGGAAACTGGAGAAGGGAGTGTGGTGTGGCCATCCCCCATGAGTGGTGTTTTCTCACTCTCTCCCTCTCACTGTGTCTCTAACAAGCATACGTGTCCTATGGCAAAGCAAACAAACAAAAAACACTTAAGAAAAAAAAATAATGGTACTTTAAATAAAATCAATAGGAATAGAGAGGAAGAATTTTTGCTTTTGAGTAAGAGGAAAGGTAACATTCTAGCTGGAATTTATGACCTGGATATTATCATTTAACTATCATGAGGGGAAAACTTCCAACCAGAAGAAATAATAGTAGCCAAGATTCAATAAGGTGAACACACAGGTTTGATTGGGTAGTGATTGGTAATAAGACTAGAAAGACAGGCTGAGCCATATTGTGAGTATATATTTTTTTAATTTATCTTTTTGTTACTTACATAGTGTCTAGCTTCAATAAACAACATGTTTTTATTTTGCTTTGTTTCCTCCTTTAAGAAGTTTTTGCCTTAGAGTGTGTGTACATTCACCTGAGAAATAGAGACAGTAAGAGGGAAAGTGAGAAATCACCCCCTGGGGGCATGGCCACACCATCATCCCTTCTCTATTCTCCTTCTGGGATCTTGGGCATGCATGCACACACGCCCAGCATGATTTTCAAGCCACAGGTCCAGGACTTGACCCTCAGTCAACCATGTGGGAGTCCAGTGGCATAATCGCTATGCCATCTGGTGGCCCAAATAACACACATTTGAATGATGATTTCTTTAGTAAATGGAGAAGTCATCTCATCCTTATGGGGAAAAGGAAGAATTATCCTGATGCCCTATTAACATGAATCTATGCTACCTCTCTACTGGTCTTCACTGTCTTTTCATTCACAGTCCCTTAGGTATTGGGATTCATTTTCAGCTAATTTCAGTTCTGTACTCTGTTTTGTCCTTTCAACAGTAACTATAATAATATTCCTAAGGTACATATCAATCAAGTAAAGCTGCTAAGAAATTTTAGGTGATTTATTCTATTGTCTACTAAATTAAGATAAATTCACTGACACAATATATAAAATCCCCTTCCTCCATTTCTCTTATCCTTTCCTTCTTTTTTAGGCACACATATGTTGACATTGCTATTCTAGGTGCAAAGAATACAATGATGGGAAAAACAAACTACCCTAGAAGAGTTTATAACAATTAGGCATTAAGTCATAATATGAGAAAAATTACAAGATATGCTGTTGGTTTTAAATACCAAACTGATGATATAGTAATTTATATTTCCAGCTCATACCTTTCCTCTAAACTTCAGATTCACATATCAAGCAATCAAACCATGTCTACCTGAGTGTCCAACAAATATCCAAAACCTCACATGTAAGTCAGTTCTGGTTATCTCCCCTTCTTTTTAATCTATTCCTCCACCATTTTTGTTCATCTCCAAGTGTGAAAATTTCACCCTCCCTGTAGGTCAGAACTGTAGTGTAGAGTCCTCCTTGATCTTTTCTCTTATCCTCATACCCAATTTGTTACCCAGTCTGTTGGTCCTATCTTCAAAATACATCCAGAATCCAAGCACGTCTCACCATCTCCACAAATGACATCTTCATCTGAACCATTAGTATTTTTCATCTGGATCTTTTCAATAGCCTCTTAACACATCTTCTCACTTCAGCCCTTCACCTCCCTTTAGTTTTTCTCAACATAGCAGCCATAGATATCTTACAAAATATAAATTACCATGTCATTCCTATCTTCGAATCCTGTAATGACTTTTAAGATCCTGTATCACTTTTTCCTCTTTGTTTTCAACACCAACAATTCTTCCCCTTTACTTCTTTCTGGTCACATTCGTCTTTCTGTCCATTTGTTGGAACTGAACATACCAATATGTCTTGCTCCTACTTCCCCTGCTGGTCTTTGTTCAAAAATCATATCACCAATAAAACTTTATAGGAACAAAATTTAATACTGTAACTCTCACCCCAAACTAGCACTCTGGAGCTCCCTTCTCTGCTATGAATTTCTCATTTATCATAACAACTTACATACTGAATCTTTTACTTACTTATTTTCTGCCTTCCCACCAGAAAGTAAACCTGTATGGGCAAGAGTTTTGTCCCTTTTTGTTCACTGCTGAGTCCTGGTGCTTTGCAAAGTCCTAGTACATAGTAGAGGATAATCATGACTGTTTGTTGAATGAACAAATGTATGTGTGTGTCTGGGGCAGGAGATAGCTGAAAATGATGCAAATGGTTTAATATTCCTGAAAAATAAGCAAGAAGCATGGAAAAAAAGGAAAGAGATTAAAGAGGAGAGGAGCGTGTTATTTTAAGGCTATGGGTACAGTGGTTAAAAGGTCGGATGTCATGCTGTGGTCAATGGTGAGCTTCTAAAAGGTAGTGGAATGAATGGGTCAAATTTACATTTCAAAAGTCACTTTGATAACAGTGAGAAAATACCACTGGGGAGAAAGATATCACACTCTAAGCAGAGATATCAGCTAAGGAGACTAACACAAGAAATGATGACAATCTAAACTAACACAAAGAGTAAAGCGGAAGTAATTACGTAAATTTGAGATACACGAAGAACATGAAATATGGTAATTACAAGAGAAATGAGGACTTAGAAAAGAGTCGGTGATGATTCCTTGGTTTCTGGCTTACACAGTACCTGACTGTACTGCCTACTGACAGACATGGTAGAAGGACAGTGTATGTCAATATGTATAAAGTGAACCCCCTATTGGACATTTTGAGTTTGAGAGGTTTAGTGGCATATTCAGGTGATACTTATCTATTAGACATTTGAAAATATGAGAATGAAATTAAGAGTAGATCTTTCAGTAGAAGATGTAAAGATGTAAATGTCGAATTAATCATTATATACAAAGTAAGAAAATATATGTAAGCAGATGAAATCACTAGGGAATACTAAATAAAATCAAAATAGTGGAAGATCTTGCCTAAGAAAAAACAACTTTTAGGGGCCAGACAGTGGTACTGAGCTCATTTAATACTCTGTAAGGCTGACTCAACATGGGGCGTTTTCAGGTTCACATTCAGAGACCTCTCTGAACATGCTAAGCACATTCATGCCCATGATCTGGGTTGGGCTCAGGCAGAGGGGGATCACAGTGTGAAGATCCTGTTAGAGGTGCTGTCTCTGTCTCTTCCTCAGGGAATAAAGTGCACAAACTAGAAAAATCTTTAAATTAATAGAAAAAAGAGCCCAAGAAAAAGTCCCAGAGTTACTAGGAAACCCAGAGATTTACAAAGAGGAGAGACTGAATGATATCTGGAATGTATATGGCACCAATTAAGACATTTTTAGTGTTGAAAAATGTGTGCATATTTATAATCTAATTACACATTTATTTTTATTTTTAAAGAATTGTTTTATTTCACTTTATTTATTCATTTATTTATTAATTTTAACTTCACCAGAGAGGGACAGAGTGAGAGAGAGAGAGAGAGAGAGAGAGAGAGAGTGCGAGAAAGCAAGCTGTCAGGTCTGGGACTTCAATGAGGGTTGGCCATGTGGGAGGTCAACACCCTTACCTACCACATCACCTGCCGGCCCACTAATTACACAAAATACTGTCTATTTGTTCACTATTTTTCAAACTTTAAAATGTTTAAAATGTACCTGTATATTCCACTGAGGGAAAGTAGCATTCAGCCGGGCTTTCAGTGAGATGAAGCACAAATATTTCAAGTAATTCCACTAAAGCTGTAATAAACAAGACAATAATTAGAATATGAAAGGTCAAGAATAATACGTGATAATACAGCTCTAAATCACAGATAAAAGTCATCAGAACTTCTTTATAGTTACATTCTAAGAGGGTCCAACTCAAAATGCACACCCTTTTAGTATTCATAACATTTCTGATTTAAATTAAACTTTAATAGCTTAGCTGAGAATCTATTCAATGTAATCGCTTAGCTGAGAACAAAATTCTGGGGAAAAAAAATCATCTGTTATCTTTAGATCCTCTAAGGATAATTTCAGAATTTGCTAAATGATTTCAATACAAGAAGAAAAGTATCACTAATTAGGCTATAATATCTCCTTATTATTATTTGCACCCACAGAGAAAAATATTAGTAGACTCCAAGATAAGGATCAATGCACAGCTCATGTCCCCTTCAAAACCAGGACATACTAAATGTTTAATACACTTTACAACTAAGGGTTTCTGTTCCAGGCAACCAGATCAAACGAAGGTTTTCCCTATCTGGCTTGGAAGTGACAAATGATTCTTTTCTAGACTGGTTCAATAATACTCCTGTGCATGCTTGCTTACTTGCTTGCTTACATGTATGCATGTGTGTGTGTGTGCATTTGTGTATAATATTAAATATATTATATAATGTATAATTATATAAGCTATATAACATCTATTATATGTATATATATTATATATATGATTGTTGGAAAAGTTATGACAGTTTGCATAGAAAAAATGCATCATGACTTTTCTGACAACTCAATATATTCCTCAAAATAGATATAACTAAGTAGATCCTTATTAATATGCAGGCCAGAGTTTTCTAGCTGAAAACAATTATATCTACAGAATCACTGATATGCTTGTATTAATACATAGTAAGTAAGCTTCAGTCACCTTTAAAAACTGTGCCCTAATTACATTCGGAATATTAACTATGACCTATATTAACGGAATGGACCCTATTTCACATACAAGTACATTTTAAGGACATCATTCTTAAAGGAAAATTAGTGTTCAATATTTGAAACTGTAAAATCAAGACAGAATAAATGATTCTCAACAACTGTATCTGACAAGCTATATCTCATAATATTTTAATAGCTTAAGATAAAAAAGAAATGTTTTTATTCATTGAACTCTATTCATGTTATGGTTTCAAAGTAAAATGAGTATTAAAAAGAATGAGAATGCAATAGTCAAGGGTCAGAAAGGACACCAGTACTGCAGATATTTTAAGTTTATAGGTTCTTAGGCTAATTCTATCTCTACATGCATAGGCACAAATTCTACTATATAATAAAAATCATTCAAAGGTTTTTCTTCTATAAATCCATGTATAAATAATAACCTTTAGGAGAGAGCTTTTAAGTTCAATGTTTATAAACTTTTTTCAAAAATCACTTAATATTGAGAACCAGCAGTTAGAGTAATGGCTATGTCCCTGGACTCCCATGTCAACTGCGGTTTGCGTCCCTGACCCGGTGGCTTAAAACTCACGCCGGGTGCATGTGCGTGCATGCCCAAGATCCCAAGAGGAGAATGGAGGAGAAGGGATTGCGGCGTGACCATCCCCCCCGGGGGGTGATTTCTCGCTTTCTGTCTCTATGTCTCTGTCTGTCTGGTGAGCGCACGTGCCCTATAGTGAAAACCTCTCCAAAAAAAAAAAAAAATCATTTAATATTGCCTCAAGATTACAAATTTTGCAGAAAGAACAATGGCTTGATGTAATTCCAATAGAATCAGTCTTTTTGTTTTGTTTTGTTTCATAGTTTTTGTCAGAGGGCATGTGTACTGGCCAGAGAGACAGAGAAAGAAAAAGCAAGCAAGAAAGCAGTCCCTATAGAGGTCACACCATAATCTATTCTCTGTTTCTCTCTGCACACATGCACAAGCATTGAGAATGTTTTTCAAGCCACAGGGTCAAGAATGCCAATCGTGCAGTCGGCCTTTTAGGATCTAGCCATCTTAACCACCATGCCACTGGCTGGTCCTAGAATCATTTGTAATAGCTGATAACTTAAGATGCAAGCTATATATTAGTAACAAAGATTATTCAAAAAGATTAACTAAAATGGAAATGTACATTTAAAATTCTTACTACATTGTCATTATTATTGTTTGACACAACCATGCTTGATACACGCTATGAGTTTAAGTAAAGTGCTTGATTTAATGGGAAAAGTCACAGTACACTGCTAAACAATTCTTTGAGTCCTAAGACCAAAAGTGGGTTTAGCTAAACGTACTTGAGTAAACTGAGAAAGTTCCTCATCATACCTGTGAAAGAGCTACACATAATACAACCTGAAACTTGAGTCACTAGACCACCTACACAATGTGCAAGGCCACTATTTTCTGATAAGTACTGAGCTTGAAATATAGTTATGTTATTAGATCAACATATTAGAGGCTTATAAACTAATTTATACTTCATATGCAAACATGATGTATTAGATTTCATCTGATTCTACTATCCTAATTTTAACCAGCAATCCCTATAAACAGCACCATACGTTTTCACATATTTTAAAGAACAGGCTATAGCCATGAAACAATGTTAAAAATTGATCCACATATGGTAATTAAACCCAGAATTCCAATATTATTAGCACATTTCTCCAACCAGGTGCTGATGAACTGCATAATTACTAACAGTGGTTACACTTCAGTACAACCAACAGCCTTGCTTACCGTCAATCCACTGAAAATTTCATTACCTATAATTTCAAGGAAATTCTTGTCATGATACAATTCTTAACTCTAAAAACAAATTAACCCTAGGATATTACCACCCAAAAAGTAAACTATAGAACATTGTTTTGTCTAAAGTGAATTTTTATATTTTAAATGACAGATCTGAAATTTCTGTAAAGGATTTCAAATCACAGGCCTTGCACCTTTAACCAAATTTATTTCCTGGGACAGGAATGTGAATTAATAGAATGCAAAACTAAATTTTATTTATATATGTGCGTATATATATTTATATATATTTGTGTGTTTACTTCTCCAAGAGCAAGAGATATGGAGACAGAGACACAGCATTCCCATTAAGGCCCTCACACCACAATCTAGCCTCACCCAGCCCTAGATCACAGGCACATGCATGCCTGCATACTCAGAGGGGTAACTAGATGTGAACTAGGAGCCTGCCCATGAGGGTCAGCTTTGCAGTGTACCATGTTTTACTACTGTCCTAGCAATTGGTCCCTATATTACTTACAGGGTAAAAAGAACACACAGGTTTTCTGCTGAGGAATAACTGAAGAGGAATTTTTCAAGGATATTGAGGTATTGACTCTACTTTCTCCCTTGGCCTTGCCATCTGCTATAACCTGAATGTTGGTGTCACCCCAAAATTCATGTCAGAACTTAAGGCCCATTGTGATAGTATAAAGGGGTAGGAAGTGATTAAGTTATGATAGCAGAGTTCTCATGAATGTAATTAGTGGTCTTATAAGAAATCGAAAGGAGCTGCCTTGTCCCCTTTTCTTCCCTATGAGGATGCGGTAAAATACTGCCATCTTTGAACCAGAGAGCAAGTCCTCATTGATATCCTGAACTTCCCAGCCTTCAGAACTATGAGAACAAAAAGAACTGTGAGAAATTGGGACCAGAAGTTAGTGTAATGGCTATGTCGCTGAACTCCCACGTAGTTGACCGCAGTTCAAGTCCCAGACCCAGTGGCTTAAACTCACACCAGGCATGTGTGCGTGCGTACCCAAGATCCAGAGAGGGGAATGGAGGAGAAAGGATTGCAGCGTGGTCCCCCTTCCTGGGGGGTGATTTCTCGCTTTCTATCTCTCTGTCTGTCTCTGTCTTTCTGGCGAGCGTGTGTGCCCTATAGCAAAAAAAAAAAATTAAAAAAAAATTAATGTTTATTGTTTCTATGCTATTCAGTCTAAAGTATTTTGTTATAGCAGCCCAAATAGACTAAGAAATTATCAAAACAGAAACTGGTTCCCAAAATAGGACAGCTCAATTTTTGTAAACATTCAAATTTTCTGTTGGATTCACTTTTTAAATCACTTAAACATATTTTATTACTGCCAGCATATCATCAGATCATATGAAAACTACATTAACAAAGTTCAATTTTTTTCCCAGTCAATTCATCCTGCATGTAATGGGGCTGGCTGTGTGGCCTGGTGGTTATGGTGGCCAGATTCCAAATGGCTGAACCTATAGTTCAAGTCCTGGATAGAGCAGCTGAAGAAATACACCATGTGGGTGTGCATGAATGCCCCAAATTCTGAAAGTGGAGGAGAGACGGTGGAGGAGGGACTGCAGTGGGACTATTCCTGACGAAAACAGGTGCCCTCTAGCAAAAATAACCAACCAAACAAAAACTTACTAAAGGGTTTGAAGCACTTTACAATCTTGCCTCATCAAACATTATCCACTTTTCATACAAATTATTATATGCACCAGACTATTATACTAAATGTTCTATTAAGTATAAAGAGGTAGGAAGTGATTAAGTTATGAGGGCAGAGTCCTCATGAATGTAATTAGTGCTCTTATAAGAGATTATAAGAGATAAGTCATTGATATTCATTCTTTCTTCTACTTAAAAAAGATACTTTTCTATTTTGTATAATTATAGATTCATAGTAAGTTGCTATTCAAAGACAGTAAATAGTGAACTTCTATTAGCTGTTCTATCATGGTAGAACTGCTGGCAACAACTTCTTAGTCTTCCTTCATATGAGAATGTTTTAATTTCCATTTCATTCCTGGGAACTATTTTCAATAAATACAGGCTTTGAGTTGATAATTCTTTGCTTTCAAAACTTCAGTAATGTCATGCTGCTTCCTGCTATTTTCCATCTTTTCTGAATAGAAGTCCGGTACTAATTGCATTACTTATCCTTGCTATGGTTGGGATCATGGTTTGTCCCCCCAAAGTTTCATGCCTTTGAATCTGGTGCTGGGAGGTGGTAAGGCCAACTGGGTGGTGATCCAAACATAGTGACTACATTATAGATGCAACAGTCTCATGAATAGATTAATGACATCTCAAGAGATTTAATGAGTTTTAGCTCTCATGAGAAGGGGTAAGTTTTCCTGAGAGCAAGTTGGTGTAAACAAGACTGCTGTGAGGAGCTCTCTTTCCCCGCTCATGCCTGCCAGCTTCTGTCTACCATGTTGTAGGCCAGCCTGATTAAAGGTCTATATTCTTTAAACTTTCCAGTTACCAGAAGAGTGAATTACTAAACAATTTTTTTTTTTTTTGGAGAGGTTTTTTGCTACAGGGTGCGTGCGCTCACCAGAGAAACAAAGAGAGACAGACAGATAGAAAGCAAGAAATCACTTTCTATCCCCCGGAGGAATGGCCACGCTGCAATCCCTTCTCCTCCATTCTCCTCTCAGGATCTTGGGCACACACACACACACGCGCGCGCCCAGCGTGAGTTTAAGCCTCTGGGTCCTGGACTTGAACCGCGGTCGACTACATGGAAGTTCAGTGGCATAGCCATTACACTAACTGCTGGTCCCTTAAACAACCTTTATAAACCACCAAGTGTCAGCTATTTCCATTAGTAACACAATAATAGACTAAGACATCTCTGATATATAAGGTATTATTTCTCTCTCTGCTTTCAGGGTGTTTTGTTTGTTGTTTTGTCTTTAGTTTTCATAAGCTTGATTGCATTGAGTCTTGGTGTGAGTTTTTCTGAGTTTCTTTTGCTTAGCTGTTTTCCTCATACTAGTCTATCTGATGCTTTCATTCATGAGTTTTAATGTTTTCAAGTCTGCATATACTGAACATTCCTCTATGTGCCTCTTATATTTTAAAGGACATAGTGCTTTGATATGATCAGATAATCTAAATTACTAATACTTTTGAGGTCCCCTTGCAATGTATACAAAATGAAATGTGAAGGGTGTCACTGGCTAGAGTCCCAAGAAGTCAACCGATATAAGCAAAGCATTATTAGGAATCAGATCTATAGAATCAAGGGACCAGCAGTTAGCGTAATGGCTATGTCACTGGACTTCCATGTAGTCGACCGTGGTTCGAGTCTGGACCCGGCGGCTTAAACTCACGCCGGGCGCGTGTGCGTGCATGCCCAAGATCCCGAGAGGAGAATGGAGGAGAAGGGATTGTGGCGTGGCCATCCCCCCTGGGGGGCGATTTCTCACTTTCTATCTCTCTGTCTGTCTGGCGAGCGCACGCGCCCTATAGCGAAAAACCTCTCCAAAAAGAAAAGAATCAAGTGAGATTTTAACATAACTTTGTAGAAGTATGTTTACTGACAGAGAAAAAGTTGTATAATAGTATATTGTGTGCTGTGGATCATTTTCCAAGAGATTTAAAGAGAAAAACATTAATAGGTGATGATAACGTTGAAATCTTCAGTTCTTGATAACTATAAATTGCACACATTTAAAACCTGAGTTGATACTACAGATGAGAAAGGATGGTAGAGGAGAAAAAGGACTATTGATAAACAGAACAAAATTACAGACAAATAAAAGGAATAATTCCCACAGTTATAAAATACAGTAGGAATTTGAATGTACCCAACACAAAGTACGACATAAAATTGAGATGATGGTACTCTAAGTAACCTGACTTAGTAATTATGCATAATTACTATATGGAAAAATCACACTGTATCTCCCACAAATATGTACTGTTATGCGTCAGTATAAAACTAATACATGCTTAAAATAAACTTTAAAATAGATAAATAGGACTTGAATTGAGCTAGATTACAGAGCCTGCATATGTATGTTAATGCACATCCACACATATACACACCAATATATAATTATACTTGTCTTTCAAACACATAAATTCATTTAATATTTTTTAATTGAGATTACTCTTAAAATGAATTTACCTCAGTTTAAATATAGAAACTAAGTGTTATGAGACATTAAAAATTCTATCATTACCTAAGCAATGTTTTGATTACTTGTGTTTATTTAGTAAATTGTTTGCCTTCCATGTGCGAAACATTAGGAACTGAAAAGGATGTACAAAGAGTGGTAAAGCAAGCAAAGTGATACAGAGCATGGATCCAGCATCAGGCTTCCTGTGTTCATATCTTGGCTCTGCTACTGTGAACTGGGCTAGTTACCGAAAATGTCTATGCCTTGGTTTCCATATCTGTAAAATGCAGCCTATCTTATAAAGTTGCTTAGAAGAATAGTTTTAATGTTAACATTCTAGTTTGTCCTAGTGCAGAGATATGGATAAATAATTAAACAAGTGGTATTTCTTTTTTGTCTTATCACTATCCGGGTGGGACAGAGAGAAACGCTGCACTACACATTTACTTACTGTATTAACCTGCTACTTTGTTAAGGTGTTCTGTACCTTTTTGTAGGTGCAAAATCCACTAGAGACAGTCTATTTTAAACAGTCTCTATTATGCAATCAATGGCAACACATTTACAACATATAACATATCATAATACTTGTTACAAAAAGGTATAAAATGTGCAAAAATAAATATATTTAACTGCTCACTTTATATTCAAATTTTAGACAGAAATATTTCTTGCTCAGAAATATGTATTATTTCTGAAACATAAATTTTCCCACAACAAAATACAGATTTTTTTCTATGTTCCACTTTTAATTTTATAACAAATCACAGTCATGAAAACCATAAAATGTGGCTGATAAGTAGACAAATACTTTTAAATTATAGCTTACAGTAATCTAGCTAATACTGACATTAGAATTTTTTAGAGCTTTCTACTTTATTCAAAATAAACAATAACAATTACAAGAAACAAACAGACATGTAAATATCTGAATGTAAATGAGCTTGTTTGACAATTTAGAAAATACAGCTGTTCATGCAAAACAAAATTTCTTTGAAGTCACTAAATCTATTTGGATATCCAGGATACGGCAATATTTCAAAATACTCATTTTGATAAAAAAATTCAATATATTTTCTAAGAAGATAGCAATATAGCATACTCAGGTGAAAAATTATAAAATCACGCAAGTTGCTGTCTAGGTCCAAGGCCATTTATGCAGTTCAAAAAAACACCTTAATTTTTGTTCTCTCAGAATCACAAGCGTCTCAGAAGTCAATGGACTTCTGGAATTAGCCTCTTGTTTTCTAGATTTGTAAATACTAATGCTCAGGAACATAGCTTCTACTAATTTTCATACTATAAAAACAAAAACAGAAAACCCACACAACAGAAATAATGCACTCACCACTGCCACTGATTATATCAGGTTTGGACTTCATTATTTCACGAAACTGTCTCCGGCAGTTTTCTATCAATTCGGTTTGTTTATCAGACATTTTGAAGTGTAATAAAAGCTTTCCAAGATCATTGTCTAATAGGAAATATAACATGTTATATTATTATAATAGGTCATACCGGATATAATGAAAAATTTAAAATTGAGAATATGAAGACTTCCAAATTCTAGAAGTAGAACAAATACAGCATTCAAAGAAAAACATTTTTTGTAATTACATATTATATTAATTATCTGACATTTATTTTAAAATTATAAAATAAGATCAGCAGATCGCACAGCAGTTACATTGCTGGACCCCTACATGGCTGACTGTAGTTCAAGTCCCAGACAGGGCAGCTTCAAGCTCATGTTGGACTCATGTACATGCATGTCCATGATCCCATGAGGAGAATGGAGGAGAAGTGAATGTGGCACAGCCATCTCCCCCTGGGTGGTGATTTCTAATTTTACCTTCTCACCATCTGTCTGCTTCTCTCTCTCTCTCCTTCTCTTCTTCTCTCTCCCTGTCTCCCTCTCTACTTCTCTCTCTCTCTCTTTCTCTCTCTCTCTCTCAGCTGAGCCCATGCACCCTACGACAAAAACTTCTAAAACAAAGTCATAAAATAAGTTAATTTATTAAAAGCTCATAAAATGGATTCCTGATTTCTTGCCATAATTCTTGAATAGTCTATTTCATATATGAATGTGACTCGTAACTGAGTATATAGATTAATAATGTGAACTTTAAGACTTTATTGCATAGACAGACATAAATATTATACTTATGCTTTATGTACATTCAGAAATAAATATATTAATTTATATAAAAGTAAAAGAAAGCATAAATACAGAAAATCTCAAATCTAGTTATTTAGTTCATACTCTTGAAAAAATATACTGATAAACAGATTAAAATACCTACTCTGGGACCAGCCATGTAACCTAGTGGTTAAAAGAACTGGATCCCACATGGTCAACTGTGGTTTGAATCCTAGCCCTGGTGACTTTTTTTTTTTTTTTTTTTTTGCCCTTTTCCCCCCCCCCCTGGTTCCCCTCCTCTTTCC